GGAGGCCGGCCACCAGGCGCTCGCTGACGAGAACCCACCCCAGGCCTGGCTCCAGGGTGAGGCAACGGTGACGCCAATCCGGGCGACGTAACTGGCTTCTGATTAGAACTCATCATGTGGGGCTTCTGAACCGTTCTTCGTCTGACCCGTCCCCCCGGACCTGTTTGCCTTGTGTGACCAGGGGCATGAAGCCCCCGACAACAGAGCTCCTGGGATCATTCGGGCTCAAACCCACCACCACGATAAGGTGACGGTTCAAGCTTCATCGTCATGCTTTTTAGTTTAGTTTTGGTTTTAGTCCTGGTTTATCCCAAAATGTGAAAACAGAAAATTACCGCCCTGTAATCCATTTATTTCAACAAAGTAACTGTAATCCAATTACCACTCATTGAAACAGTAACTGTAACTGAATACAGTTACTCATCATTTGTACTCTGATTACTCTGGTACATGTAATCTGTTACTCCACAACACTGCCTGAGGGTCACATTGACCTGAAGAATTTTTTTTCCCTTCCCGCTCTCTTAGGGCGGGTCAATCAGACCCAAAAATGGATTTTCAAATAAATTCTCACCAGACGAGAAAATAAAGTTTTGGGTCTGACTGACCCGCCCCAAGAAAGCGGGAAGAAAAAAAAAAATCTTCAGGCCAATGTGACCCCGAGGAGAGTGTGAGTTAACGTCACCGTCTAAATGAAAGACACTTCTGATAAAATATTTAGACATTTTTACCCGCAAGCGTTCTCGTGTAAACAGACTCTAAACAGAGCTTAAAGTCACACTGCGGAACATTCCAGACAAAGCATTGACATATCCATAGAAACAAGCAGGTGACAGACCCTCCACCCAAAAGTTACACAGTGCACCACCTCGAAGTAAGAAAATTGAGTACTTCAGTACTTTAATGCAGTAGTAGTATTCTTCCAATCATTGAATAAAAGTATTAAGTACTTCAATAAAAAATATAAGTTACTTTAGAGTAAAAGCATTCAGCTGTAAAAGTACTCTGAAAAGTACAATTTCTTCAAAAGTGACTCCAGTGAGTGTGTTGTGTTCTGTTGTGTTGTTTACGCGGGTCTCGTGCTTCACGCTCCGGCGGTTGAGGAAGCGTGGTGCGCGTGCGCGTGTGTGTGTGTTGGGGGGGAAACACCGTTAGACGAGCACGCGCGCTCAAACACTCCCCAGGGGCGCGCGCGCACCTCGTTCACTCGCTTCACTTCAACTCTGACCTCCTCCTCCTCCTCCTTCTTCTCCTCCTTCTTCTTCTTCTTCTTCTTCTTCTGAGCGCGTGCAGTTTACCCACGACACGCGCGCGCACACACACACACATACACGCACACATACACACGCACGACGCACGCGCTCCCACCCCACGCGGTCTACCCCACGTTTTTCTCACAGCGGGAGTTTGACGGAGCGACGCGGGCGAAAAGACGCGCGCGCGGCTCCGTGGATCGTTCCGTTTGGATCGCGAGAATCCGCATCAGATCCGCATCCGGTCCGGTTCCGTTCACACTGGATTTAGCGGTTCGGACTCCGGATCAGAGGTGAGTGAAATGAGCCGGGTTTTTTTTTTTTTTTTGGAACTTTTGAGCGTTTTGACCAATGAGAAAATCTGCGCAAAGAAACCACGTACGGTTGGACTTGAAGGACTTGTAGGTACTTCAAAGGTACTCAAGTAGAAGTACAAAGTAGTGCTTGAAGAAAATTACTATAGTAGAAGTAAAAGTATTTGGGGCAAACTACGAACTGTCAGGACGTAACATCTGGTTTTAGAATTTGAAGGTTAAAACATAAAATAAATCACAAAATCTGTTATTTTCAAACGACCGACACAAAAATGAGACAAATTAATCGTGTAACTTTTCGGTTGGGCGTCCGTCACCTGCTTGTTTCTATGGAGACGTCATTAGTCTGCCTGGAATGTTCCACAGTGTGACTTTAAACTGCTCTTCTTAAATGTAATCCCCTACAGATTACAGATTACATACCCCAAAATGTAGTTTGTAACATAATCCATTAAATTACTTAAAGTGAGTAATGTAATCTGATTACTTTGGATTACTTGATTTGCTGTAGAGAAACAAAGACGAGGAAATCTTCACATGAGAAGTTTTATCTGATAAAAGAAAATGAAAAACCCAGACTTTACTGAACCAAATCAAAAATATTATTGATAGAAAACGAGAAGACACGTCCACACAGCAGGATTTAGTCCTGTTAAATCCTGGTTTAGATCTGGTTTTAGTCTTGGTTTTAGTCCTGGTTTTAGTCCTGTTAAATCCTGGTTTAGACCTGGTTTTAGTCTTGGTTTTAGTCCTGGTTTAGACCTGGTTTTAGTCCTGGTTTTAGTCCTGGTTTTAGTCCTGTTAAATCCTTTAGGTTTTAGTCTGGTTTAGTCCTGGTTTTAGTCCTGTTAAATCCTGGTTTAGACCTGGTTTTAGTCTGGTTTGGTTTAGTCTTGGTTTTAGTCCTGGTTTTAGTCCTGGTTTAGTCCTGGT